GACAGAGTCTTACTCTGTCACCCAGGCTGGAGTGCAATGGTGCAATCTTGGCTCACTGCAACCTCCACCTCCCGGGTTCAAGCAATTCTCCTGCCTCAGTCTCCCAAGAAGCTGGGATTACAGGTGCCCGCCATAAAGCCTGGCTAATTTTTGTATTTTTAGTAGAGACGAGTTTCACCATGTTGCCCAGGCTGGTCTCAAACTCCTGACCTCAGGTAATCTACCCGCCTTGGCCTCCCAAAGTGCTGGGATTACAGGTGTGAGCCACCGCACCCGGCCTACCCATATACTTTTATACTTTGAAACCTTAGATTAATACACTGAGGAATTTTATTTCCTAGAAAAATGCCCCAAATTTCCGTTCTATTGTTTTATACAAAATTCTGCATATAGCTTTTAGTTTGCTTTTGATAGAATCTGTGTTACACAGAGAGTCCATGTGATGATAGTTAAAATAATATTTTACATAATATATAAATGTTTCTTTCTCATCATAGTTCTTCTAGATGGCAATAACACATTATATATGGTAATCATTATTTTACCAAGATCTCTGCTATCATAAGAAGACCAGACCTGAATATATTCCCCTTGACAACAGACAGTATATCTATGAAATAATTTTAAGAAAAAGTTAAGCATGACAGCATAGCATCAAAGTTGATCATTCTTTGTGAATACACTAAGATATGGGCTAAACATAGGCATGAAAACTAAAAACAAGTACTGTAAGAATATTTACATACATATATCATGGGTTATTAAGAAACAGATTATTAAAGAATAATGTGAATACATTATATTAATTCACAGTATAAGCATACTTTTAGTAATTTAATTCATGAATAAAAAAACATAGATATAACATTAGGCACTATTAATACATGTTCTGTCATATATATGAAAATATACATACAGATATAGTTCTTTTAAACCAAACTTTTTAACATATTCACTGATTTAAATAAAAGTTGACAGAGGTAGAATTTGTGTCCATGTTCATGATTTTCAGCAACAAGTACTTCAAATATTTCATTACTGTTCTGTTCTTCTAAAAATCCACATAGGAACTCATTGAAAACCATTATTCTGAAAGGCGGGAAATTGAAAAGCGGGTTAAGAGAAAAATGATGAAGTTATTCAACATATTCATAAAAAACTGAAATTCAGTAATGTTTTAAATGAAATTATAGAATCTAATAAAACTCTGTGACCAGTTACATTTAAGAAGTACTGTTCTACTTCTTAAAATTCAAGTACTGTTTTTTTCATTGTACTTTATTCACTTATTTATTTATTTATTTAGAGACAGGTTCTTGCTGTGTTACCCAGGCTGGAGTGCAGTGGCATGATCATAGCTCACTGCAGTCTTGATCTTCTGCCTCAGCCTCCAGAGTAGCGGGAACAACAGGTACACATCACTATACCTGGCTTCTTTTTTTGGTATTTAGTAGAGACAAGGTCTTACTATGTTGTTTAGGCTAGTCTCAAACTCCTGAGCTCAAGTGATCCTCTCACTTTGGCCTACCAAAATGCTGGGATTACAGGTGTGAGCTACTCTGCCTGGCTTATACTTTTGTTTAAAAAAGTGATTTTTGTTTCTTTATTTATATGTCTCTGTATTTTATGTTTCCTCCATGAATCTGTGTGATACTGCATTATAATAAGAAATACAAACTGGGTGCAGTGGCTCATGCCTGTAATCCCAGCACTTTGGGAGGCTGAGGCAGGAGGATCGCTTGAACCCAAGAGTTCAGGACCAGTCTGGACAACATAGTGAGACCCAATATCTATTTAAAAAAATACAAAAATTAGCTGGGTGTGGTGGCACACACCTGTAGTCCCAGCTACTCAGGAGGCCAAGGTGGGAAACTGCTTGAGCCCAGGAGTTCAAGGCTACAGTGAGCTCTGATGGCACACTGCACCACTCCAGTCTGGGCAACAGAGCGAGACCGCGAGACCTTGTCCCTTAAAACAAACAAAAAAAAACACACAGAAATATGGTCATATGTTCCATAATGATATTCTGGTCAATGACAGACTGCATAAAAGACTGTGGTCCCAAAAGATTATAACAGAACCAAAAATTTCCTATTGCTTAGTATTTAGTATGCTATGCTTTTAATCATTATTTTAGAGTGTACTCTTACTCATTAAAAAATAAAAGTGAACTATAAAACAGCCTCAGGCAGGTCCTTCAGGAAGTATTCCAGAAGAAGCCACTGTTATCACAGGGGAGGACAGCTCCGTAAACATTATGTCCCTTGAATACCTTTCAGTGGGGCACCATGTAGAGGAAGGAGACAGTGATATTGATGATCCTGACTCTTTGTGGGCCTAAGATAATGTGTGTGTTTGTGTCATTGTTTTAGCAAAAAACTTTAAAAAGTAAAACAAAAGATTAATTTCATAAATAGAAAAAAAGCTTATATAATAAGAATATAAAGAAAAAAAATTTCTGTACAGCTATGAAATCTGTTTGTGTTTTAAGCTAAGTGTCACTATAAAAGGGTCAAAAAGTAAAAAAAAATTAAAAAGTTTATAAAGGAAAAAAGTTATACTAAGCCAAGTTTAATTTATTATTGGAGAAAATTAAAACAATAAATTTAGTATAGCTAAGTATACAGTGTTTATAAGTCTATAGCAGTGAACAGGAACGTCCTAGGCCTTCACATTCACTCACCACTCACTCACTGACTGACCCAGAGCAACTTCCAGTCCTGCAAGCTCCATCTGTGGTAAGTCCCCATATAGGTGTACCATTGGTTATCTTTTAAACTGTATTTTTACTGTACGTTTTCTATGTTTAGATGCACAAATACCACCGTGTTACAACTGCCTACAGTATTCAGTACAGTAACATGCTGTACAGATTTATCGCCTAGGAGCAAGAGGCTATACGATACAGCCTGGGTATGCAGTTGGCTATATACCGTCTAGGTTTGTGTAAGTACATACATTCTATGACATTTGCGCAATGAAAACACCTAAAACAAATTTCTCAGAACATATCCCTTGTTGTTAAGCAATGCGTGACTGTATATATTGGGTCTCTGCCCCTGGTTCTTGGTCCACAGCTCCTTGTAATCTCCACAGTGATAACTGTGTCTTTTGCAAGCAAATGAGATGACTGGTGGCTAGGGGCCCCTAGACAGCTTCAGGACAGGAGCTGATCACCACAAAGTCCAAAGCATGATTAGAGAATTGGGCCACTGACCCCACACCTCAACCTCCAAAAAGAGGAGAAGGGCTGAAGGTTGAGTTTATCACCAATGGCTAATGATTTAATCGATCATGCCTACTTAGTGATACCTGCATAAAACCTCCAAAAACTGGGTTCAGGAATCTTTCAGATAGCTGAACACTTGGTGATGCTTAGAGGGTGGTGCGCCATGAGAAGGCACAGAAGCTTTGAGCTGGTTTCCTAATAATTTGCCCTATGCATCCCTTCCATTTGCCTGTTAATTTTGTAATAGCCTTTTCAATGAGCAGGTAAATGTAAATGTTTACCTGAGTTCTGTGAGCTGCTCTAGCAAATTAATAGAATGTGATGAGGGGGTTGTGGAAACTTCATCAGTCAGAAGCACAGATCACAACCTGGGACTTGCGATTGGCATCTGAAGTCAAGGGGAAGGGATTTGTGGGACTGAGCTCTTAATCTGTGGGATCTGACACTATCTCCAGGCAGATAATGTCAGAATTGAGTTAAATGTTGAAACTGAGATCAGTTGGTGTCTGCTGGAGAATACGGTGCCTGAAGTGGTGTGCTGAGTGGTGTACGAGAATCGGAAAAACAGTTTTGTTGGTTTTTCCTACTCAAATAGCATGCATTAGATATGATAGTCAAAAAAGAAAGAATAAAAGTTGGATTATATATTTTAAGTATTAAGAGACACTAATCTGAGATGTCATTTTATAGTTGAGCAATTCATTTTTTTTTTCCTTGAGCAATTCATTTTTGAGTGCTTGGGGAAATCCCTTAAAATTAGTTTTGGTGACAATATTTAGAAAATATGAGTGGAAATGGATTAGTAAATAACAATCTCAACATACCTCAAAAATTAATTGCAAATTATTACAAAGTTATAAATTACGAGTTTGTTAATGGTTATAGAAGTTTTCTAATCCGCATGTACTAGAATCATTGAAATTTAAAAAAATGGAAAATAACAAGTGTTGGTGACGATGTGGAGAACAGGAACCCTCATGCATTGTTGGTGGAAATATAAAATGGTGCAGCATGTGGAAAACAGTTTGGCAGTCCCTCAGAAAGTTTAACGGAATTGCCACATGACCCAGCAATTCTAGTCTTAGGTATATACCAAAAGATTTGAAAACAAGGACTAAAACAGATACTTATACACCAATGCTCACAGTAGCATTATTCACAATAACCATATGGTAGAAACAACCCAGGTGTCTTTAACTGATGAAAGGATTTTTAAAATGTGGTATATCCTACATCTGGATGAACCTGGAAAATATTATTCTAAGTGAAATAAGCCAGACACAAAAGAACAAATGTATGATTTCACTTATATGAAAATGTAAAATAGGCAAATTCATAGAGACCAGAAAAGTAGATTTGAAGTTACTAGGAGCTGGGAAGGTGAGGTCTGGGGATTGGAGAGTGATTGTTTAATGGGTACAGAATTTCTGTTTGGGGAGATAAAAAAATCTTAGAATTAGATAGTGGTGATGGGTGTGGTGCCTCTAGTCCCAGCCACTCCCGAGGCTGAGGCAGGAGGATTACTTGAGCCCAGAAGTTTGAGGTTTCAGTGAGCTATGATCATGCCACATCCTTCCAGTGGCAGAATGAGACCCTGGCTCAAAAAACAAAACAAAACAAAAATGCAATGTCTAATTCATCACAGTTTTAGGAATTGCAGGAATCTACGTTCCACATCAGTAGTTCTTAAAGTGCAGTCTGGGGATCCCTGAGAGTCCCCAATACTCTTTCAGGGACTCTACAAAGTCAAGCTTATTTTCAAAAACCAAGGAATTATTTGCCTTTCACTCTTATTTTCTTACAGGTCTACAGTTGAGTTTTTCCAGAGCTACATGATGTGAAGAGACAGAAGTAAATATTTTAGATTTGTGGGCCACAGGGTCTGTCAAAAGTACTCAACTCAGCCACTGCAGTAAAGCAGTCTTAGACAATCTGTTAACAAATGGGTATGGTTGTGCTCCAATAAAGCTTAATTTACACAAATAGGCAGTGGTATGGATTTGGCTTGCAGATCCTAGTTTACCAACCAACCCCTGATCTAAACTGCAGCTATGAATCAAACATGAGAAAATGTCTGTGTCACACTCTTACAAGGCTTTGTAACAAGAAGGTGAACCAACACTGGATCACATGAAAATAACACAGCAATTCAAGAAGGACACAGTGACTACAGTGAACACTGAGAAGTGGTCCTCAAGGTGAAAGAGAAAAATAAATGCCTTAATCAAACACAAAAGCAAAAGCAGAGCAATCAGGAATCATTTAAACCTAGGCTCTACAAACATGAGGGCATCAGTATGTTAAAGAACAGCACATAACTAATGTTCACAATGAGGATTCTGAGTCAGAGGAAATGTTTAATTATCTTCTATATATTTCTATCAAAAGAGGCAAAGAAACGTATCAATTTAAACAAGACTGGGATAACTATTTCTGTCAATGAGTATGCATTTTCACAGTCACTACCTGTCAAAGCCTGGGTCTGACTCACGTTTCTTTCCCATTCATTCCCATCTCCAGTGAATCAGCACATCCCTTTGATCCTTCCTCAGTCAAATGCGTCCCAGCACTTTACAACTACTCTGGAAAACAGTTTTGCCATATCTACTAGAGCTTGAACATACATATATCCAATGATCCATCAATTTCACTTCTAAGTATAACCATAGCACTATTTGTAATAGCCCAAACTGGAAACTACCAAATGATTATCAAGAGAAGGAGGAGTAATTGAATTGTAGTAAGTTTCCATAATGGCATTCCATACACAGCAACAAGACTGAACAATCTACAAGTACACACAAAAAACAATACGTACTGCTGAGAAAAAGAAGCCAGGAACATGATTTCATTTACAAAATGTCTAAAAGTAAGCAAAGAGAAATCTACACTTTTAACAGTCAGGACAGTTACTTTTAGACCAGGGCTTATGACTGACACCCAAGAGAGGTTAGTTTGTTTTGTTTTATTTTGTTTTTTTTGAGATGGGGTTTTTCTTTGTTGTCCAGGCTGGATTTGAACTGGGCTCAAGTAGTCCTCCGACCTCAGTCTCCTGTGCCAGGCTTTATATTTTATTTTATTTTTTTGAATGGAGTCTCACTTTGTCATCCAAACTGGAGTGCAGTGGCGCGATCTGGGCTCACTGCCACCTCTGCCTCCTGGGTTCAAGCAATTTTCCTGCCTCAGCATCCCGAGTAGCTGGGACTACAGGCGTGCGCCACCATGCCCAGCTAATTTTTCTATTTTTAGTAGAGACAGGGTTTCACCATGTTGGCCAGGCTGGTCTTGAACTCCTGACCTCAAGTGATCCACCCACCTCAGCCTCCCAAAGTGCTGGGATTACAGAGGTGTGAGCCACCACGCCTGGCCTGTTGTTTTTTCGATTTTCATGCAGGTTACCTGGATGTGTTCAATTTGTTCATTGAAAAACTTCATTGAACTATGTATCTATGATACAGTACCTTTCTGTATATATATCATAGTTTACTTTAAAAATTCAGTCCTAGTTTTCAATATTATGATACTAATCCTGAACTATTATACTGCTCATTTCATACCACTTACTGGACTCTCTACCTCTAGTTCCTATCCTTTCCAATATGGTTGAAAGACAGGTGTGAAATTAATCTACCAGAAACAGCTCTTTCATCTTGACCCTTCCCTTGTACCCATCCTAGAAGGACTGACCTTCATGGTTTCCCTTGACTTACAAAATAAAGTCTATAATCTCTAATTTAGCTTCACATTCAATATAATACTCTATATATTCCACTCTAAGTTCCAAACCTTTCTCCCTCATTATTGCCCCACAGCCTGCCCTTCCTGCCAGGTTGGGACTACTGTGCCATGTGTACTCCTGTTTCTATGCTTTGTCTACATTTTTACTACCTATTATTTGTAGCTTGAATTTAGCCCTTCATCAAAGAATACCCTGTGATAGCTCATATTGTCATTTAACGTTATGCTGTAGATGTCTTCTCTTTTTAAATTCGGGTATAATTTACATACGATAAAATGCATGGGCCAGCCTGTAGTCCCAGCTACTCAAGAGGCTGAGGTGCGAGGACTGCTTGAGCCTGGGAGTTTGAGGCCAGCCCAGGCAAGATAGTGAGAACCCTGTCTTTTTTTTTTTTTTTTTTTCTTTGGAGATAGCAGCTTGCTTTGTCATGCAGACTGGACTGTAATGGTGCAATCATAGTTCACTGCAGCCTCAGCCTTCTGAGCTCAAGCCATCCTCCTGCCTCAGTATCCTCCCCCACCCCCTAGCAGCTGGTAGCTGGGACTACAGGCGTGTGTCACCATGCCTGGCTAAGTTTCGTATTTTTTGTAGAGATGGGGATCTCACTATGTTACCCAGGCTTGTCTCAAACTCCTAGCCTCAGGTGATCCTCCAGCCTCAGCCTCCCCAAAGTGCTGGGATAACAGGTGTGGGCCACTGTGTCTGGCCGAGACCCCATCTCTTCAAAAAAAAAAAAAAAAAAGCACACACTGTAAATGGTCAGTTTTATGAATTTTTACAATTGTATATCCCCACATAACTACTATGACCAAGATACAGAACTTTTCCATTACTCCAGGAAGTTCTCCTGGACGCCTTTCCAGGCAATCTCCCCTCTCCCGATGAAGAAAACAACTTTCTGAATTTTTACAACCGCAGATTAGTTTTGCCTGTCCTTGGTGTTACATACATACCTTTCTGATAATTACGCATTTATATGTTCAGGAGAATGTGAAGGAGACCTCAGAGTGGAACTAAGGGGTGGTGTAGGAAGACCATGTCGACGCATCTCTTGGATTGCTCGTTCTCTATTAGTAAAGATCAAACAAGAGAGAGATAAATGCAAGCACAAGGAAAAATAAAATAGTAGTATACAAATATAATAGTTATTAGCAAATTTGTAATAAATTATTTAATTAGTATTACTATTAAATTTAAATCCTATGTTTTTGTAAAATTTTTAAGTAGTGGATAAAAGATTTCAATTAAAAAATTAAATATTATATGTACAGTGAGGAGCATTTTGCTTCTAAGGTATTATTTTAATGACAGCCTGCTATTCTGACATGGTTATAACATAATTGCTTTGAACAATCTCTTATAGTACATATTCTTTAAATTGAAATCTTTTATCCACTACTTAAAAATCATACAAAGACATAGGATTTAAATTTGATAGTAATGCTAATATACTAGTTACACTAATTATATATATACTAATATACTTATACTATATACTATACCATATACTACAACACTAATATACTAATTACATATAATATATAAGATAATATATAATATATAATACATATATGTAAATA